AAGCAACGATTTGTCGGTGGTTTGCCGAGTTTAAACGTGGTCGTACCGACACAAATGACGCGGAACGCTCGGGTAGACCTGTGGAAGCCGTTACACCGGAAAATGTGAGTGAAGTGACAAAAATTATAATGAAAGATCGTAAAGTGAAGCTCCGTGAGATTGCTGAGATGACACAGATATCATATGGAAGTGTATTTACTATCCTTCATGAAAAATTGAGCATGAAAAAGGTTTTTTCCAAGTGGGTGCCGCGATTGCTTTCGATGGAACAAAAACAGCAACGAGTCGATGATTCAGAAAGCTGTTTATCGCTATTTACACGCAACAAAAAAGATTTCTTGCGTCGTTACGTGACCATGGACGAAACATGGTTACATCACTACACTCCAGAGTCGAAGCGGCAGTCATCTGAGTGGCGCACAGCTGGCGAAAGCCGTCCGAAAACGCAGCAGTCAGCTGGCAAAGTCATGGCGTCAGTTTTTTGGGATACGCATGGCGTGATTTTCATTGACTACCTCGAAAAAGGTAAATCGATCAACAGTGATTATTATATTGACTTGCTGGTGCGTTTGAAGGAGGAAATCGCAAAAAAACGACCGCACATGCAGAGAAAAAAAATCCTTTTTCACCAAGACAATGCACCCTGCCACAAGTCGATGAAAACAATGGCAAAATTGAACGAATTGGGCTTTGATCTGCTTCCCCACCCCCCATACTCGCCAGATTTAGCCCCCAGTGACTACTGGCTCTTTGCTGATCTTAAAAAAGTGCTCCAGGGAAAAAGATTTGGCTCAAATGAGGAGGTCATCGCTGAAACTGAAGCTTATTTTGAAGCGAAAGATAATTTTTTTTATAAACATGGTATTGAAAAATTGGAAAAGCGTTGGAACGATTGTATCACCCTAAAAGGTGATTATGTTGATGAATAAAAAAAAATTTTGCAAAAAAAATGTTGTTTTCATTGTTAGTCTCGGGACTTATTGATCCATGTGTTAAAGTAGCAACATTGTAGAGGTTAGTGAGCATATGCAACTTGGTGGAGTTGAAGAATCTGGTGAACACACACAACTTGATTTGCTATTACAGTGGATTCAGCATTAAACTTACCTCGTTGTAGAAACTAGAGAACATTAGTTATTTAATTTGGTAAAGAATTTAAATAATGATAGCGATATGCTTACTTTAACTTGGTAGCATTTGAGAATGTAATGAACAGATGCAACTCCACTTTCCAGCACTGTAGAAACAGTTTGCTTACATCCTAGAAGCTAAAAAACATAAGGCTTTAACTTGACAGCATTAAAGAATTAAGTAAATATAATATACTTGATAGCACTAAAGAAGCAAGTTTAAAAAATATATTTTAACCTCACATTGCAAAAAGCTGGTTAATCTAAGTTTTGATTTGTAATAAAACAGTGAACATAGAATGCCTTTGATGCTAATCTGCTAATGTGATGCACTTAAAGCATTGTAAACTATCGTTCATTTTAACATTTTATTACTATCAGTTTGATAATTGTTAGGATTTATTCCTTTTAATTTGTTTCTCATTTTAGTTAATTCGAGCACTATTTGAATTATTGAAAATTATAGATGACGTGTTTGTTGTTTAAATGTGACCTATAAATTTTTCTTAGACTCTAAAATAAGGCTTTAATTTTAAAAAAGCGTAATTTTTTCAATTTTTTTAATTGCCGTATAAAATGTAGTAGGCAGGTGTGGTAGGCAGAGGAAAGAGAAAAAAAAAAGCATAAAACCCCCGAAAAAGAGCACCGGATAAAAGCTCCGAAGAAAAGTACCTGAAAAAAAACCCCGAAGAAAGCATCTCATTATATGAAATTAGCAACTCTATTCAATGTAGGCCGTCGGGTTAAAATTTAATGCAATTAGATGTTTATTCGAACGAAATTAGATATTCCTTTAAAAACTAATTAAATAGGAGTTAATTTAAATAAATACTGAAAAACTTTCATTAGACAAGAAAAATTTAGAAGAACTCTTAAGCAATTCTGAAATTATTCTAAATTTAAATAATTACATTTATCGTATCGTGAAACAATAATGATCTACAAACAATATTTTTTAAACCAGTTATTTTTTAAAAAAAAAATTATTAAATGCATCATTTATAATAATGTAAATGCATCATTTATAATGATATATAATTGCATTAAAATATATAAAGTATTAAAAGCTTCTCTCATTCAAATTTTTTTAAATTCATTAATTACTTAATATCTAATTTACTTCGAATATTATTTAATTATATTCAACTCGGGTTCAACGGGACAAATGATACGAACGTTCAATCTATAATGATTTATGAGGTGCTTTTTTTACCGGAAGTTTTCTTGCAGTGCTTTTTTCTGGTGCTTTTTTCTGGTGCTTTTTTCCGGTGCTTTTTCCCCCCTGATTCTTAATATTTAGAATCTGACACTTATATAAAGGAGAAGGAATATAGATTTCAAATTTATGCCCACATGCATGGTATAGTTTTCCAAAACTTTAAATAGCATTTTCCCAAAACAGCGTTTTTTTTTTCTACCACAAGCTAGATTTCTAAAACTGCCGGCCCGGTGGCCGAGCGGTTAGCGCGCCTGTCTGCGAAGCCAATGCCAGCGGGTTCGAATCCCGCTCTGGGCATGGATGCTTGTCTCTCTTGTGTTGTCCTCTGTTGTGTGTGATGTGTGAATGTGGCCCACCCTATGAACGGGTTTGTGGCAGTGTGATTATAGTAAGATTATAGTAAACTTTAGTCTCAGCTATAATATTTAACTTTCACAGGAAAAATACAGTTCAAAGCAATGTCCATAGAGGGCCATAATTAGGATCTTCTAATCTACTATGACGTCACGACCACTTTTTTTTAACACACTGTGTCAGTTTTTAGAACCATTCATTCTGTGTAAAGGGATAGTTAAAGGGGTAATTGCACGAGCTTGTTATTCAGGTCCTCCAGGTTCTTATCCCCTGGCTAAATGACTAAGACTTCAGTTTTACAATACAATACAAGTTTTATTCGACCACAAAATTTTTTTTAACGTTAAACATCAAATTTACAGTAAAATTACGAGCACCAGCATTAACGGTATTCAACCGTAAATTTTTCAGGAATACCTATTATTTTACAGGATAATATAGCTAAATAGAAGCTTGATTTGCCTAGGGGAAAGTCTGAGACAAGTTCAACATTAAAACACATATAGATATCTACTACGAAAAGAAAAATATCTGATATATAGTTTTATTATATTACTGTAATTTAAATTTATTATTTAAGTAATCAGTAAAGACTCTCGCCAAAAGATTCATAAAGAGAATATTTCTGGCAAACCCATCGAATAGAAACAGCTGTCGTCTCTTTCCGAAGTGCAAGCCAAACCGACCAGCACTTGGATATTAGTAGCAGCTGTTTCCACGTTGAGCCACTTGCTTTTTAGCCGTCTTATAATGGCTTCCACATGTTCACCCTTTACAATGCCTGCGGTACTATAATCACCATCCAACTCTCTGGCGGCCTTACTACTACTATTGCATTCTTATTCTAAAGATTTACCTCTCTCTTAGTCAAATACTTTTTCTCTTTCTTTCTTTCCACACTATGGGTTTTCCTTTCGAGAACTCCACATCAACTTGTCATAAAAATATGACTTTTTTTGGTTTTTGTGCATGGTAAAAATACGCAAATTTATTTAGTCATATGACAAGAATTTGGATTAGAGGTTATTAAAAGAATAGAAATTGTGTGCGTTTTAAATTCTTTAATACCTAGCATCTTTTTCGAGAGAAGGTTTTAAAATTCATCATATTCTTATTTTCTTTCTTTCATTTTCATTGCAGATCAATTGAGGACTTCAGATCAACTTGTCATGAAAATATACCTTTTTTTATTTTAGTTCTAGGAAAAAATAAGCAAATTTATTTAGTCGCAATATGGATTATAGGTTATTAGAATAATAGAAATTGTACGTATTTTAAATTCTTTAATATCCAACGTCCCTTTTGAGAGAATGTCTTAAAATTCTTCATATTCTTATTTTCTTTCTTTTATTTTCATTGCAGACCAATTGAGGACTTCAGATCAAATTGTAATGAAAATACTCTTGTACATCTTTTTTAATTTCGTTTCCATGGATAAATAAGGCAATTCACTTAATAATAAAACAAGAATTAAAAACTTTAAATTTAGATGAGATTTAATGGATAAGATATTGTAGGTTCCATTATAAGATTAAAACGTAGAAAAAATGACGTTTTGTTAAAGAGCAAGGCACTTAAAAGTAAAACTAAAAATTTTTGATTATAGTATTTACAAGGTTAAAATAATAATTAATAGTAATTAAAATAACAATTATTTGCAACGTTAAAATGATTATTTTTTTATAAAGTGCATTAAAAAAAGACTTTTGATCATTTCATTTATTGCGAAGTATGACAGCGTTTTCAAAGTATTGTAATTGATCTGCAATTCTACTTTTAATGGGCGTAAATTACCTATCTGAATTATTTCCAAAGCCACAAAGCAATCAAATTTGCTGTAAAAGAATATATTCCAGAAAAAAAGTTTCTTTTTTTGTATTGGAATGCTTACATCATTTTAAACTTCTTTGTAAAAATATTATGAATTATTTCCCAAAAAAGTAATATGCTTTTTAGGTTTTTTTCCCCTTTATCGGAAATAATCTTACTAAATGACTAGGAGAAAATAAACAATTTTAAAACAAACTATGATTTCATAAAAATAAAGCTTTGCAATGAAAAGTAAATCGAAATATTGATTATTTGCAAAATATTTGTTTGTTTTGTTTATCAGAGAAATTATTTATCTGGTTGTTCAAACACTTTCATCTATCATTAAGTTGGTGGTGAACACGAAATACGTTCAATTTTGCGAATAAGCGGAATTATCAGTAAGAGAAAAGAGTTTTTTTGTAATTTTTTCAAAATTTTGTACACACATGAAACAGTGTTTTATCTTTTAACAAGGCTTTTCTCTTATAGGATATTCTCATTCGAAATTGATGATTCAAATTTAGCTATCACTTTTTTCTTATAAAAGCTTTTAAGCAGTAAAGCCATGTCAGTTTTAGCATTAGTTTTTCAGTCTCTAATATTTTCAAGCAGTTTAGCAAGAATTACTGATTTTTATGCTATAAAATGGTATGTTATGTAGATATTTTAAATTTTTATAGAAACGTATTTTGTTTAAAAAAAGAGTTTGAAAATACAGCTATTAAAAAAATTAAATTAGCAAAAAAATTAAAATAGTTTTCAAAATAAAAATCTAATATTTTTTCAATTATTTCTTATTATTCCTGATCTCATTTCTAAAACAGAATAAAAATTATTTTATTATTTTGTAACTCTAAAAGATGCTGTTAGATAAAAAAAAAAGATACTCTTATAGGATATTATTTAAATTTGATGATGCAAACTTAGATGTCTTTTTTTTTTCTTATGAAACCTTTTAGACGGTGAAAACATGTCATTTTCATCCTCATAGTTTTTTAGTATCTTACATTTTCAATCACTATAATAAAAATTGTGGATATTTATACCATAAAATGGTATTTTGCACGGTTATTGTAAACTGCTTAAAAAAATATTTTTAGGAATTTTAAAAAGAGTTACTTACTACTAATAAAACCTAAAAAAATTAAAATAGCTTAAAATAAAATATGAAGTTTATTTAAATTTAATCTCCTATTATTTTTGTTTATATTTTTGAAACAGTTAAAAAAATATTTCATTTCTCTTGAAAATCTAAAAGATACTGTTATAAACAAAAACAAAAAAAGATACTCTTAATGGAAGTTCTAATTGAAAATTGATGACTCCAATTTAGATGTACTTTTTCTTTCTTATAAGAGCTTTTAAAAAGTTAAAGCATGTCTTGTTTAGCATTAGTTTTTCAGTTACTCATATTTTCCCACCACTTTAGTAAAAGTTACGGATATTTATATTATAGAATGGAGTGCTATACAGATACATCAATCTGTTAAAAAAATTATTTTTCTGTTAGAAATTTGGAAAAGACTCTTATTAACTACTAATAAAACATAAAGAAAGTAAAACAGCTTTAACTATTAAAATATGAAAACAGCTTTAACGATTAAAATCTTCTGTATTCATTTTTTGTTGCTATTTCTGATGCAGTTTAAAAAATTTTTCATTGATTTAGAAACTTTAAAAGATACTGTTATATAAGGAAAAAAGAAGCCCATATAAGAGATTATCTGAAATATTATCTAAAAAATACTCCTACGGGATATTCCCATTCAAAACTGATGGCTCTAATTTAGATATCACTTTTGTCTTTTCTTTTAAAAGCATCTAAACAGTTAAATCATTTATAGCATTGCTTTTTCAGTCTCGTATATTTTCAGCCACTTTAGTAAGAGTTGTGGATATTTATACTATAAAATGGTATGCTCTATAGATATTTTAAGTTAATAAAAAAAATTTTTAGAAACTTTGAAGGATTATTATTTACTACAAATATAACAAAGAAAAATGGAATTGCTTGTTATTAAAAAAAATCATAGTCCTGATTTATTTTGTTCATATTTCTGAAACAGTTAAAAAATATTTCATTGAATTTGAAAGTCTAAAATATATTGTCATATCAGAAACAAAATATAGTCTTATAGGATGTTCTAATTCGAAATGGATGATTCTAATTTAGATGGCACTTTTTTTTAATAAAAGCTATAAAAATCATGCCATTTTTAGCATTAGTTTTTCGCTCTCTCACATTTTCAACCACTTTCGTAAGAGTTACGGATATTTACATTAGAAAATACCATGTTATTAGATATTTTAAACAGCAATAATTATTTTTAGAAATTTTGAAAAGACTGTTATTTAATACTAATAAAGCATAAAAAAATTATATTAGCTTTAAATATTAAAACATTTAAAAAATTTTAAAAATTAACATTTTTAATTATTAAATATACGGTTTTCTTAAAATTTGATTTCTGAGGAACTATTCAACCAATTTCGCTCACATTTTTGTTTTGCCATGTAAAATTAGATACTTTAAATTTAACTATTATTAAATAAAATAATCGAAAATAATAAATATTTACTAAAATTTATATTTTTTGTATGGATTTATCTTTGGATTAGCGAATTCTATAATTGCATGCAAAGGTTTTGCAATTCGTTTAAAAAGTTCTCCAGATATGACGAAATATGCAAAAAATAAAATTAACATTATTGGGTTCAAACTTTAGATAGCTTTCCTGACCAAAGTATGGGGGCCATATTTCCCATATTGCAGCTGCCCCCTCTATTTTGTAAGTCAAAAATCCGAATCCGTTGGGAAAAAAAAGGTATGTTTATTCAGAGAAAGTACGTTTTTGTATCTGATTTCGCAACTTAAAATATTGTCAGAACCAATTAGTTAGCATATTTGAGGTCGTCTAGATCAAACTTTATTTTGGGTGTTTTTTTTTATTCTCACTGCATAACATATACTCTAATGGTAACAATACCGGAAGCACACCACAACAGTATTTAAATATTCTAATTCTTCAGCTGTTGCTCGCCCAATAGTAGCTTGATCTTAATTTTAACTGTTTTCAAGAGATGTCTGCGATATTGTCAAAGTTCTTTGCGCATTTAAATTTAGCAAAAATTAAAAATTATTTCTTATTTGAATATTAATTGAATTCAAAGCAAGAATAGAAAGCCATTGAACATCACTTATCGCTAAAATTCCAAATTTTCGGATTTCATTAAAATGCTGTAGTGTTTTCGACTATAATAATTAAAAAAAAATTAAAAAAAGATTTCAAAATAAAGCTGCTTTACAATGAAATAAACAATGTCAAAAAATCTAGATATGGCGAAAAAAAGTTAACTAAACGAAAACAAATAAATTATCTCGAGGTTTAAAAATAGATTCAGTTTCCGTGTAGTTTATATAATTTAGAGATTCAGTTTCGAATGGTTTGTACTGTGTTATTAAAATACAAGAAAAACAACTATAAAAGAAATAGGAATTTTTACGCAGTCTCAATTATAGATTTTTGAATATCAGACTAAGATGCAATTACAAATAGAACAAAACAAATCCTAAATTTCATGTTAAAATGAGTTAACAGCAATTGAAAATACAAAAGTTGGAATAAAAACTTTATTGCTTTGCTAATAATACTGATTCTGCTATACTTCAATTGATTATTAGAAATTTTTCCCCACGAGCAACTTTTTTTATAGTATAAACTGAATCTTTGTTTTTAAAGTCGTTTTTTTCATTTTCCCCAGGCGATGCTACTGGCAGTTTGTTTTGCTACTCTCTTTTTGTTTAATGGTTCTGAATCTAAGCCTATGTTATGTCCATGTACTAAAGGTGAGTATACGTATGATTTCTACCATTTTTAAAATCTTTTATCATAACATTAAGGTCAAATTTTTGTAATCTTTTCTGCAAGTAATAAAACAATAACTCTGAAGCATACCTTCATATAGTTACAGTATCATATTGTTATTGTAATATACAAATCAAACAAATATATGTATGTATGTATATATATATATATATATATATGAAATTAAAAGATCACTTTGTTTATAAAATATATAATTATTATTATAATTTTAGTACATTTAATTAATATGTTAATCACAATTAAATGAAATTTAAAAAAATAATTAACTGTATTTGAGAAAAGATATTAAAACTCAGAATGACGCAATAAAAATTGTCAACACTCCATAAAGATAACCTTATATTATATAAGAGTTCAAATTACGAACAGTTTAAATCTTTCTCAAGAAATTTATGCATCGAAAAAAATTTGATTTATCCATATGATATGATTTAAGTCTGGCAACAAATATATATGCATCCTAAATAAGTAATTTTTACTTTGTATTTTCTCTTAAAAATAAGTTTACTAATTTTTATGTATATTTTATCGTACTTTATTTACAAATAATAAATGATGAAATGAATAATAAACTACCATCATTATTGCTGAACACCAAAAATGATGGTAGTTACTTCACACCAAAAATGTGCTTCAATTTGTCAGGAATTGTCCGTAGTTCTACACCACTTTGACGTAAAGTAGTTGCCACTTTTTTTTGGTGTTAAAGTGCACTAAAATTTTTTGCAGTGTACTTCAAAAATGCATTTCTATTCATGTTGTTGTTGTTGTTGTCGTGTCTATGCATACAGTGCTAGTGCAAAGATTAGAGTCCTCCAAAAGTCTTGGATAACAAGATTATTTCTATCCATTAAGGTTTTAAGTGACGAATTAGTGAATTTGATAAATTAGATTTAAAGTTTAGGCGTTAACAAAAGGAAATAAAGACTATGCCTTGCTTTTATTTCTTGGCTGACAATTATCAAATTGGCGAAATGTATAATTCTTCGTTTTAAAATACAGTCGAAAGAGAGGCTGTTATAGACTATTTGGTGCCAAATGGTGTTTCAAACTTCCTTCAGCTTCCTTATATTTTAATTGATGAAGATAACTACTTAGACTATTTCTAATATTTAGTCTGAGTAGTTATCATATATGGCAACGTTACTTTTAAAAAGTAACGAGTAAAAGTACAAGTATTTTTAAAAAAAGTATCGAGTAAAAAGTTCTTATTTTAAAAAGTAATGAGTAAAAAGTACAAGTAGAAGTACAAGTACTAAACAAAAAGTAACGATTTAAAAGTACATTTCTAGGAAATCGAAAATTCAAAGTAACCTAAAATTTTATAGAATAATATTCTTATGTTCTTTAATGTTGTTACAAAATTGTTGTTATTTATTTAATTGTTTTTAATATTGAAAGTTATGGTTATTAATTTATTTTTAAATTCGGAAGAATATTATATATAATTTTATAATATAATCATATAATATAATTTTAAAATCAAATATAACTTTAATATCAAACTTTTTATAGATTTGCCCGAAAAGGAAATTTTATCTATAGATTTTAATTTTTAGTTTATTATTTTTATTTATTTAAATTACCATTGATTTAAAATTTTTTTACTCTTTAGAAACGCGTTTTAAAAGTAGAAACATAAACAAAGCAAACACGGGGTTTCAGATAGCTTTGTGATCTTTGAGCTAGTAAAAAATAATTGAATGTACAGTATAAGATGAAACAGAAGGTATTTAAACACGAAGTTAGCTGTGAATGCATATATATTGCACATTAATTTTATAAATTAAAAAAACATAAGCATTTTTTTTAATTTAAATTTTTTATTTATTTTTTTTATTTTTTAGAAAGCTTACCGAGTTTTAGGAAAAAGTAACGATTTCATTCGATATTTCCGTTACAAATACTTGTACTGTTTTCCTAAAAAAGTAACGAAAGTACAAGTAAAAGTACTAAATTTAAAAAGTAACAAAGTACAAGTTAAAGTACTAAATTTAAAAAGTAATGAAGTACAGGTAAAAGTACGTACTTTTTACTTGTACCGGCGGTACAAGTAACGAAAGTAAAAGTACTGCCATATATGGTAGTTATCTTCATCAATTAAAATGCAATATTCAGAGAGCGTGGAGAGACTATTCGATATTTACTCCTACGATAATGACAGTTGGAATGTAGCGTCTAGCCAAGGATCTAAATTAGTTAAGTTCACGCCACTTTCTTTACACGATTTTTCTTTGGACAAGGCAAATAAAAAAGCCACAGTTTAACTGCCTTGCGCTTCCATAATTCCATGATAACAAATTATGAAATTTGTTATTATGGGATGATAGCAAATTCATAATTTTCAACTAAGTACATGAAGAATTATCTGGGGTTTAGAACAGACAAATAAATATTTTAAAAATTGTTAAATTTTTTTAAAAAATTGCCAGTTTGGCGACATTTTGAAGCATAGATTGAAGTGATCAAAGTCATTGTCTTATATCCTTTTTTTGCAAATTCTTAAGAGCCCAGGTACTGCAGCAATGGATTATGTTTTTAAATATTAAAAAATTTAACTACAAATGCTTTTTATTTTCTCAAAACTGTGTCTTTTCTCCGTATATTTGTTTTGAGCCATTTTTTTTTTTTGATTAATCATTAAGGGCGCTGGCTAAAGATAGGCTAAACTTAGCCTAACAGCCATAAGTAACTGTTGTAAACTCACAACAGTTATGAAAATAACATATTATTGGTAACAAAGCATCAAAAAATGGAAAATAAGCAGGTGGCTGAAAGGTTGTAAATGAGGCAAATTCATCATGAGTAATATCCTAGAACTTGTATTCTCAAAGATTTGGCTAAATAAATTTATGTTTTATAGTTTAATACAGCTAGACCTCTCTAAAAATCGAAGAAATGTAAATTTTTTAAAAATGCCACATAGATTTTTCTTCCTCTGAGTTCACTATTTTCTCTAATGTTTTTTACTAAGTGACTAGTTTATCGTGATTTCAGAAATATCACCTGCTCTTTCATCGGAACCAAGAACAGAATTGAGAGATGCAACTTCACCTGACATGAGTAAGTATTTTTCAGCTAAAATATTATAATTGAATCGAAGAAATTTAAATTTTTTAAAAATGCCACATAGATTTTTCTTCCTCTAAGTTAACTATTTTTTCTAATGTTTTTTACTAAGTGACTAGTTCATCTTGATTTCAGAAATGTCACCTGCTCTTTCATTGAAACCAACAACAGAATTGAGAAATACAACTTCACCTGACTTAAGTAAGTATTTTTCAGTTAAAATATTATAATTGAATCGATGAGTCCAAAAACCATTAATTATCTCCATTTTTTTCATCAAAATTACGCTTTTTACATTTTTAAGTTTAGCTGACGTAGATACATGGTTAGGATTTTAAAAAAATCATTCCTTTCTACTTGGCACAGTATATTTTGTGCTGATAAATTTCAACTTATCTTGTGGCCTGTTCCACGGAATAAAGTTGGAAATATACGGCTAGATGGCTGCCATTGTTACTTAAGGAATCGTTTGAATAACGTAACGATTAATTATTTAGTTAGGCTTGTTATTTTGTTGATACTTTTTATCACACAATGAGTGATACAGAGAGTAGTTTTTAGATGGTATTTGCAAGAAAATATAGGGGTATAAGAGTAACTAACTGTAAGGGAGGTGACTACAAATAATATATATGATACTTGATTTCAAAATCTGGTGACCGGAAATATAAGAAAACTATAAGAAAAATGTGTTAACAAAATGCTCCTGTGGAAAAGCAACAAAGGAGAAATAACAGTTTCAGGAGTCACATTATAGCAATTTTAGTTTTTAACGCACGACACCTGGTAAATTGTATTATCTCTTTCCATTGGTCGTTTATGCAAACAAATCGCTCATGGGCTGCATTAGTGACACAACTCAAAAAACTCGCGTTTTGGACTAAGAACAGGTGTAAATATGAAAATACACACTCTTTTCAGCAGCAATACTAGCACAACTCATAATTCAACTTGAAGGTAATCTTCGTTGAAGCAAACTAAGGCTTTTCTTATGCATTTTCATTAGCAATGAAAACTTTAAACCCACTTATCTCAAAACATGAGTTTTTTGAGTTTCGCCGCTATTGCTGCCCATGAGCGAAATGTTTACTCAATACAAAAAAGGTACCCAAAAAGTGGCACCATAACCATTTATGGAAGCGTATCTTGAAAAAGTTGTCATAAACCACTGAAATTTGTAGACATCAAAAAAAAAAATTTACATTATAAATCAAATATGTTTTTGCCTTTCTATAAAGAAATTTGTAAGTACCCAAACACAGGTAATAATAATCAAAAAGATTTTTTCAAATCTACACAAATATCCATGAAAATATAGTCTAAGACTTAAATAAAGTCTTTATTTTATTTGTAAGTGTAATTCTCTCTTGTTAAAAAAATGTATAGAGCTCGTTTCAACGTTTTATCCGAAAACTGGTCATCTTCAAGTTCTAATTATATTTTAAATTAAAAAATTAAGTCATTTGTCTTCAATTGCAGTCGAATATTTTCTAACCAGCCACACATTTTAATAAAAAAAAGGAAAAAAAGCTCCAGGCATGAAGCTGATACGTAACTATTCAGTTTTTTGTCTTTCCTACAAAATTTGTTTCGCTGGAGATGATCGGTTTTCGAAGTCATTGATTCAATTACATTCATTTATTCAAGTTGTTTTAATAAATGACTTGTTGACACTGAATTTCAGCAACAACTCTTTCATCCAAAGCAGCAAATCGAGTACTGGAACCTGTAACAAGAAAATTAAGAAATGTGACTTCGTACACGAGTAAGACTTTTTTTTGTTGTCAAATTTAAGATTCAAGTTATAGATTTCATTTGAAACGAAAAGGTCAAATTTAAAATTTAAATGGATAAATTTATAATTTTTTAATAAATATAACAAGCACCACATCTCAGAACACACCTGAATTTTAAAATGTTTTTTGAAGGCTCAGTTGTCTCACAAATAGCGCGTTTTTGTAAATAACAAGCTATTTTCATAACTGCTGTGGGATTTCTATAGTTAGTTATAACTAAGGCCCGGATTTTAAAAACATTTGCATTTTTTTGCATTTTTGGACATTTTTTGTCCTTTAGAGCATTTTTTGAGATTTATAGGGCATTTTCTTTAAATTTTGGGGCGTATTTTGCATTTTAAAACATTTTTTAAATTTTTTGTTAATTTTTTCTAATTTTTATTATTTTTTATAATTTTTTATTATTACACTGGCTTCTAAACAATGAAGAAAATCTTTAGGATATTAAAAGTTGAAGCAAAATCTTTTCACATTGAAGAAGAATCGTCAGTAAGTGTGACCGTCCTTTTCAAGTACGCACCAATAACATCAGTAGATGTTGAAAGAAGCTTCTCCTGGTATAAAAATTTGCTTTCAGACATGAGACGCTCGTTTACATTTCAAAATATTAAAAAAAAATTAATAATCCACTGTAATTCTGATATTTAGTAATATTATGAGATGGAAGTTGTTATATTCATTTAAGTTTCTATACAAAATGAAAATTTTTTGGAGACAATATATTTTCCTTTTTTTTTTTGTTATTTTAGGATATAAAACATATTTTTCAAACTTTAATGAACGTAGAACAAGTATTGCTTTGCTTTATATTTTTTAAAACGACTCATAATAATTTTAAAGAGTAAAACATTGCTTCAGTTCAATATTTTTACTTCTATTTAAATCATGTCATAAAAAAAAAGTTTTCAGAAAATTTTGTAGAAAAAATGCTTTTATTTAAAAATTTTGCATTTTAATACAAAGACTGTTTTTAGTTACATGTAATAAAATAACTGAAATAAAATAACTATGGTAATTAATATTGCACTAAATTTCTAATATTTTTTACAAATCTTTACATCTAAAGTACCTTTGAATATGTATTGTTCGACGTAAAACAAATAAGTTTCTATCCAAAAGCAATCAATATAAGCTCTTTTTTTTTACATTTGAAAAACCCATTGTCCAACATGATATTATGGTTCAATTTAACATGGTTCAGTTTGTCACATTGCTGTCATTGCAATTAAACTTGGAAATGTTTTCATGGATATCATAATGAAAAATAATAGCATTACAACTTTTTAAACAATTTATGAGTTAAATTTTTAAAATAATGATTCTTTTTACAAAAGATCACCTTTCAATTCTTTCCTCCTTTTTGTTATCAAAAAATAAAGAAGACGTTTCATGTTAATAAGTTTTTAATTACAACCCTAGTGACAAATAGAATTACTCTCAGAATCAAACTCTGTTACACTAGAGTCAAACTGTGTAGCTTTTAAAGTACAATTCTGTTACTCTAAAGTAAAATTCTGTTAAACAAGAGTCAACTCTAGACTAACTGTGTAACCCTAGAGTCCGATTCTCTCTCCGACTGGGTCAAACTCTGTTATACTGTAGTCAAATTCTGTTACTCTACAGTAAAATTCTGTTAAACAAGAGTCAACTCTAGACTAACTGTGTAACCCTAGACTCCGATTCTCTCTCCGACTGGGTCAAACTCTGTTATACTGTAGTCAAATTCTGTTACTCTATACTCTAGAGTCAAATTCAGCTACTCTAAAGTCCGTTATTTAAAAATCAAGTTTCCTTACACTAGGGTAAACTTTTGTTAATCTAGAGTCAAATTCTGTCATACTAGAGTCAAATTCTGTCATACTAGAGTCAAATTCAGCTACTTTAGAGTCAAAGTTTATTATTTACTCTCCAGTATTTGATCGGGAATAGCGAATTTCACACCATTTTTAATCTATTCAGGTCTTATTTTTTTAAACTTTCTATAAGCTTGAAATTTTAAAAATGAACAATTTTTGCCACTCTATTTTTCGAACTTTATTAAGCAAATGTAAAATTGAAATATTCCAATGTTTTAAACAATATTAGGGGAATGCTGCTCACGTTGAAGTTGGCAATCAGGATAGGTCTTGATATTTCAAGTAGTTGAAATTTTATGAAAATATGTAGAGTCTTTTGTTAATTTGAATATAATGATGAATAATGGCATTAATAAATATCTTTAATGAATATAATGAATATAAACATTCTTCTTAGTGAATATAATGAATATAAACATTCTTTTTAATGAATATAATAAATATAAACATTATTTTTAATGAATATAAACATTTCTTGGCAAAGATTTCAGCAAAACATTTTTAAAAAAAAATAAAATTCATAACTTTAGAAAGTAATGTTTTTAATTTTTAAAGTTGCGGAAAATATTATGCTTTAATATTAACAATATTTTTATTAGAATTTAAAAAATTATAATTTTAATATTTTTTTGTTTTTTCTTCTTATTATTTTTAATGCTACACAATACATCAAAATTAAACCTATTTCTTGAAGTAAAACATTTAAAATAATGTTCGGAAAATAGTTTTAAAGTTAAAAAAGAGCGAAAAATAAATTCATCATAGAAAAAAAAGCCTCCAAAACTTTAACTCGAAAATTGAAGCTCAGACGGAAAAAAAGAAGTCCTACTTCACGTTAAAATTTATATTCATACGTAGACTAACATAATTCTTTCAACCCAGTTTTAGAGATGACTACAATAGCATTATTTGTTTAGTAATAACACAAATCTTTAAATTTTCAAAATTTTACGATCGAGTCTCCTTAATTTTCAGCACAAATTTGAACCATAGAGGTATATTTCTAACATACAGAATTTCTCTTTAAAGTTTAAACCAGAGAAGCATATTCTTAATATATTGAATTTCACTTTCAAGTTTGAACCAGAAAGGCATATTTATAGTATATTAAATTTCATTTCTCTTTAAAGTTTGAACCAGAGAGGTATATTTATAGTATACTGAATTTCTCTTTAAAGTTTGGACCAGATAGGTATATTTCTAGTACATAGAATTTTTCTTTAAAGTTTAAACCAGAGAAGCATATTCTTAATATATTGAATTTCTCTTTAAAGTTTAAACCAGAAAGGCATATTTCTAGTATATTGAATTTCTATTTAAAATTTGAACCAGTAAGGCATATTTCTAATATATTGAATTTCTCTTTAAAGTTTCAGATTTACAGGTACAAAAATTTCACTATAAACTTTTCTTTTCCTATTTTCAGCATTATCATCTACAACAGAGGTTTTATCAATTCCACTTGAGAATACAACAACGGTATTTCCAATAATTCCACCTGATTTCAACAATGAAACAATGCTTCTAACATCTACGCCCGATTTTAGCAATGTAACGGTATCTCCATTTATTGATAAAACAAGTCTCATGAATATACCAGTGCCTATTGCTGCTACCTTAACAGGCATCTTCAGTCTATGTTGCTTTTCTCTGGCATGCAAAGGAGCTAAAGCATATATTGCAGACTGTAAAAATAAAGTTACAGCTAAAAAAGAGCTAACAATAACCACTAATAAAATAAAGTCAGAAACTAAATGTTGTGAAGGAAAACATTTGAAAAAGAAATCATACTCAAACGAAACATGTCATTGTAATACTTGTATTTGTACGCAATACAAATAGTGAGATAATTTTATTTAAATATTATTTTTACTTGATTTCAACAATGCAATGATATTTTCAAGAAATTCAATTGTTTTAAAAAATAAAGTCAATATTTCCAATGATTTCTTTTGCTTTCAACAATGATAAATATTTTAAATTGATTGGTAACCTAAATTTTAAGAATTTTTCAATGAAGTGCAAAATTACGCTAAAAAGTACCGGCATTTAGGGTGCTGGTTGATATACAATAATTTTTACAGTAATAATTTCCGAAAAATCCCTGAATTACACTAATTATATTATATATTTATACTAATTATAATAATACTAAATATATTACAGTAAAAATTACGATATAATATTTTACGGTTAAATGGATTTCAAAAATGAAGTCAATATTTCTATGATTTTACTTGCTTTCAACAATGAAACGATATTAATATTTATTGGTAATCAAAATTTTAAGAATATTTCAATGCCATTCACAGCACAAAATTACGGTAAAAAATGCCGACACTTAGGATGTCGGTACCTTTTACTGTAAAATCCATTTTTACCGGAAAAGGCTACGGAACAAAAAATCTGATATACCGTAATTTTTACAGTAATAATTTTCGTAAAATCACTGAATGACTCTAATTAAATAAATATTACTGTAAAAATTAAGATATAATATTTTACGGTAAAATGGATTTAAAAAATAAAGTCAATATTTCCGATGATTCCACTTGCTTTCAACAATGAAGCGTTATTTCATTCAACGTTATTTTGGTAATCAAAATTTTAAGAATAATCCCATGTAAGAACTTCATGATCAACATTGAGAACATTGTAAGAACTTCATGATCAAATTACGGTTAGAAAGTAGCAGCACTTAGGGCTCGGAACATAATAACGGAACAAAAAATCTGATTTACACTAAGTTTTACCGTAATAATCACCATAAAATCACTGAGTTGCTCTAATTAAATAAATACTACTGTATCATATTTTATAGTAAAATGGATTTTAAGGATGATTTGCCCAAAATGCCGGGACTTTAATACCGTAATTTGATCCGGACTGTTTTATAGTGTACAACTGTTACTTTTTGAGCTGTCTCATAACTGTCACCTTAACAGTCATAATTGAAAAAGCTAAAAATAATTCATGCTTAAACGATAAATGTGAAACTTGAATATGTTTGTAAGATTGTTAAATTGTATTTTATTTTAAAAAGATCTGGTGTTTTGGAAATTTTTTAAAAATGCACGTATTTTTTTAAAATCTTTTGTATTTTACTTTTTAATTGGTGTATTTACAAAATAAAAAATAAATGGAATTTTTTGTGGGGTTTCTTTATTTAGTTAGATAATATGCAATACAAATGTTGATCGAAATATCTTTAGGTCTTTATTTGCTGTATTATGTACATAGATTCAGTATTGATATTATGTTGTTATAAACACTAGTAAAGTAAAATAAAATTAAAAAAAAGAATTTTTTAAAACTCGTTTTCTTTCTATTTAAACGTAGATGAGAAAACCTTAAGAGAACTCCGGCGTTTTTTATTAACCCACGTTGAAATTGCCAAGTCTGTTCCATTTTTTTTCTTCAAAAATACTGAATACTGAGGAGATTTTTTTACAAACAAAAAAAATTTATTTTGTTATTACGTATTTAAAACATGTTTTTAATGATTTGAAATAGCATCTGAAACGAAAATTTGAAAAATGATAATTGTTTTATTGCAATTTATAAGTCCCTATGCGAATTTTAGAGCGAATTCAATCAAAATATCAATCAAATTTTCTAATACCCAATATAGTGCTCAAATAAACCATATTATGGTATTTCTCAAACGTTTTTACAAAATACTATCCCATGTATCATGGTGCGTAAATTAAACGTATATTTTTGGAAAATTGGTAAAGTTAATACGTGTTATACGTAAATTTTGCGAAATATATTGACGGAATGATATTACCATTGAGATATTTGGTGAAAAAACTTTTGTATATTTTACGTAATATTAACGTAATAGATTTTACCAATTACCTTTCGATAAGATTGCTTAGCTATATTTTACGAAAGATTGACGAAAGATAATTTACTACTTAGATTTAGTAAAAATGATTCTGTGAATTTCACGTATTATTGACAAAGCAAATTTACCATTAAAATTTCGGTTCGAATTTATCTGCGTAAATTTTCTGTTGTTTGGATAACCACTTTTTTGTATAATTTGAAGTTTCAACTTACGCACATTTTGACGTATTGTTGACGTAAATATTACGTAAAAATGACGTACTCATTCTTACCTAGCAAAAAGTGGTTGATAAAAGAGCCGTAAAAGAAACGTATTTGTTTACGTAAAATTTTCCTTCCATTTTCCGTTTTTTTTAAATAATTTTTTGCTATAATTAGACGCTATGATTTGACGTAAATAATAGGAAAAAATACCGCATACATTCTTATAATGTAAAAAATAGTTGGTAAAATGTTCGCAAAAGAAAAGAAAAGAATTTATTTACGTTTAATTTTTCGTGAATTTTACGTTTTTCGGTTAACCGTTTTCTCTTATAATTCGACGTTTCAGTTTTACGCAAATTTGATGAATGCTTTAACGGAAAACTATACGTATTCTTTACTTAAAATTGATGGTTCTTTGCAACCTGGGCAATTTGAATGGAAATGGGATTTTATTTAACACCATATAAAAATTGAGGAAAACTTTCCCTAGCTGTGGTTCAATGTATGGTTCGTTGTTGAACAGATTTTTACGAATATTTAATGCTCCGGAACGACATTACTTTCCGGTCCACCTAAAATATAACGTTTGAGACAGTTTGTCAGTACGGCGGTAATTGCTGACTGGAGAATTTGCTCTAGTGATGACGTCTTGTTTCACTGAGAAAAATATAGTCAAAACTATCAGAATTTTGTGTTTGGCTCTAAGGAACACCAAAGAGCTTGGTAATTTTTATCGAAGTTCTTTCCTTATGATTTTAATAAAATTAACAATAAAATATTGTTTTAGGATGTATTATAAGATTTGATCAATGTGGTAAAATTTGATAGTTTTATTCATACCTTAGAGCATAAATTCCATTTGTTCGCTTAAATTTACTTTTCAATTTTCTATTTTTTATTAAAGGTGTAAAAACTTTAATTGTAATAAGAACTATAATTTTAAAAACCAAAATTTACTGTAAATCATTACCATATGAACGGAAAAATTACCAAATGATTGGCTTAACTACTATATATTTTGGTTTATTAGCAAAATTATTTTTTTTACCAGAAATGTCATTACCATAGAGTGCTATAATTTTACCTGAATTTTTTTGTCTATGTGCGGGCTATAAATCTGTCTATAGTTTCCTATATTCTTCATGAAGTATTTATTGGAGAAAAACCTACCATTATTTATTGAACACTTTTAGATTGTACTGCCTAGTTGGTGTTCATGTACCAGAAACTAGTTACCCCTTGAGTTATAAAATCACTTTCTTGAAGATAAATTAGCACTCCAACAATTATAGAAAAGGAAGAATGTTTTTTTTTTAAATAATTGCTTTATTAAATGTTTTATAACTATAATTTTTTAAAAGAATTGCTGAAAAAGCAGTAAAAAAATTGAAGTAGGCACACACCATAAAATATTTTTAATCACACCATTTCCATAAATTAAATAACTGTATAAAAATCGGTGAATTTCTTCCTTTACACCAATTTCCATAATTTAAAACAAATCCAGAAACTTATATTAAGTATTTCTGAAAGGAAAAAAAAAACACTTTTAAAAATTTATTCCAAGGAACAAGTATGGTACCAATATACCATCGTATAATTTCCATAAATGAAATTTTTAAATCTACCAAAATATATAAAAGGTAAATTAAACTAAAAATATTAAAAAGCTGCAGAGGCAGTGGAGGTAAACCAAAGGAAAATGCAATTTGGGAAGTAAGCAAGCGTAAGCCTAAAATCCCCTTTTTCAAATTATTTACACAGAAGAGGAAATTCGTATTTTCTCTAAATAACCAAATTATTTACCGATTCTCGCATACATCAGAACAATGGAAACATTTCTCTGATATTATGAAGCGTGGGGGAAGCCTATTCTTCCTGTTGTTTGCTATGTAGACACAAGACATGAAACAGATGAGGGCTTTGAGTAAAACAAATTCCAGAACTTTTGAAGAGGGGTGGCGTAGAATCAGCAGGGGATACGGGCTGCTACCGTAATTCTTTTAAGGGAAAATTATAATCACGATAAAATACTAGAACGAGCTGTTTTACCGTTGGATTAAACCAAGACCAACAAATAGTCTGCTAAGATAGAACAGATTTCACCCAAGATGGCGGTATGGAGGGAGAATTTCGAAATTGATGATTCGTTTTGGTGTTTTGTAACTTAAGTTCTATCTTTCTTGAAAGGCAAGATTTGGAGAAATCCTACGAGTGTTTTTTTATTTATTTTCCAGTAAAAAGAAAAATTTAAAATGGCATTAATGTAATGAAACTGATGCTTTTTTTTAAAAAAAAATGGAAAAGTAATTTGATTATGAAATATGAGGTTCGGTTTCTGAAATATTTACAGATACCGTGAAGTAACACCAACTGGCTGGGAATGTTTTAAATTAAAGTGGCGTTTTGCTTTAGATTCTCCGTTTTAAGTTAATTTTTCAATGCCAAACTTACCAGTGCATGGTAAAAAAAAAAGGCATCAGCCACAAATTGATTGAGTCAGTAACACCAGGCGTAAAGTGACAACCTCCCAATACAGGCTCGAATCCCACATGATCCGGGCTCAGAAAAACCACAGTGCTGGTATTTTATATCCTCAGTGGTTGATAGATCGTGAGTTGGAATTCTTTTCCGCTGAGCTAACTGTGGTAGCTTTTCGAGAAATTTCTTTCTATAGAAGGCAAGTGCGAATTCGTAACGCTTAAAAGAGTACTACACGAAGAACACCATTAGCTTTAGGTTTGGGCACAAAATTACACGGCTGAGGAATAGAACATTGATTGTCCTAAATTTGATATGAATTGGCTGTTCAATACCAGATATAAAATAGCTATGAGGATAGAGGATAGCTTGGAAGGTAGCGTTCTGTCTAGGAATAGCTCTAGAGATAAGGAGTTTGCTTTGGACATCAGCAATCCAGATTGTAATTCTGGTAATAACGTAATTCGTTTATTTGTACACTGGTTCAAAGATTCACTAACTACCATTTTGGTATAAATATGGTAGTTGATGTATAATTTGTCAGAATCTCTTTTCCATCATATATATATTTTAAGTTTTTGCTAATTGGTGAGGTTGTAATTCACAT